TATATAATTTTATGGATAAATAAATTTAAAAAAATAAATAGACAATGCAAAGGAAAAATAATGTAGTTTTGTAATTATGATGGGACAACGTACAAAGATAAACAAATAAAAAAGAAATAGAATTAATCTATGCAGCCTTCTTAGACGCGTAGAATGAACAAAAAAAAGAAGAGGGTGTGCAGATAGACACTCTCATAGACAGTGTTCGTTTAGCATATTGTGTCTGTACTGCGTTTTAAAGGTGGGCTGTATATAAGTGAGTCTCGACGTTTTATCGGCTTACCAGAACATCCATCGTTTTTATCCGTGATTTTAAGTTTTGTTATACAGTAAAAATCGGGTGATCTTAATTTTTAAACTATTATATTTACAATTATATGTTAATTAATGGTTTAAGTGGAAACTTATTTTCGTAAAAAAAATAAAATGAAGTAAAAGAAAATGACTAAAAGTAGCTCTCACAATTAAGCATTGTGTTTCGTAAAATATATACTACAGCCCTCCTTTGAACGGATCCGAAACACGCAAAAACGAAAGGTCCTTTTTATTGTGCTGTAGCCGATTTTTCATTGGAGGTGGAACAAACGTAACAAGTCCTTCTTTTCCTTTGGATCAAGTCCTTTTTTATACATACGTTTGTTTCACCTCCCTCCCCTCTCACCCCTACATAGTTTTTCTTAGTGAATATTTTTACCACCTATCACGTAATGCATGTTAAATACTTATATGTATTTGCTGTTTTACGAATCAATTATTTTATTACCATTATATCTAGACAAAATTTTACGTATACGCCACATAAACCGTATGATGAGAATGCAATATTATCACGTAGCTGTGAGAAAAAGAGAGAGAGAGAGAGATGAAGAAAGACAAGTTTAAAAAAAAATTTTTTTTAATGCACAATGAATTTTTTGAAGATAGTTATATATTCACCGATACGCGATTATCTTCGTCAATACAATTACAATACAACATTGTGTAGCAAAAAATCTATACACATGCAGGATATGTACGTACGTATGTTCATATCACAGATACCGATTTAATATTATACACACTTGTGTCAAATAAAATTGAACACTTTTTTTTACCGTTAAAATCAACAACAGTTTATTGGCTTAAGGATAGTGGTGCTGCAGTGATAAGTCTTGTTTGAGTTAGACTGTTTAAAGTACTTTTCTGTTTTATCAAAGTAAAATCCAAAACAATGGTCATCGGAATGAGACAAATAAACATTACATACAAATTTTTCACATGGCAATATCGCATTGTATAAATAAAATTAGCTACTTTGCAATTTTTACAAACTTCTTGAAAAGTAATTTTTATACACTTTCTTACAATCCTACAGTTGGTTCCTTTTCTACTTTCGTATAATCATGATGTCGATAACCATTCAATAATCACACATTAATATCTAAGGGCTACATAATCACGATTGCACATCATTTATCCGTACTGAGAGTTTATGTTGCCATTGGCTAAAAAACGTTTTGCTTGATTAAGTTTTTTTTTTTTTACTAATGCAGACTTAACAGTGTAAACACTATTAATTCTAAAAATCAAGTCTCATGTGTATGCATGCTTGATGAGTATTATACATAAGTGAGAGAGAGATCCCTCCCCACCCCTTATCTTACTCATATGTATTATATACTTACTTCGGGGGTGACGAACATGATTTTTCTTGGCTTGGCGAACGCAATAATAAAACTTGGTGGCCCGCAGCTTCTTNTAAAAATGCATACCGATGAATGGGTATTTATATCACTGTAAAATTTTTGATTTTATTGGTAAATTGAGAAGATTAAAACAAATCTTACTTGATTAATTTTAGTGGTCACCATAATATTAAATCGTATTAGAAATTAGTTGTTGAAGGACATGGAAATTAATAAATACGATTATCGATTATTAAAAGATAAATAAAAGTATGTCTGGATTGATCAAGTGTTTGTTATTTAGCTTATATGCAGCTTTTGTAATAAAATTATTACTTTGTTATTGCAATGTATATTTATTTACTATCATAATTGCATTTAATTATTTATTAGTGGTTTTCATATTTCATTTCTTTTCATAATATTTGTCGATCAAAGTAAAGGCTTATTCTTAAGAGAGAATATAAGATTTAGACATTTTTCTACGAAGCATGTATTTTATGCATATAGAGAAAAATAATAATATTAATAACATAATAAATAACCCGGACAATTATACCACGGCATACACGTACACACACGTACAGACACACATTTATTGTAATCTTGTGGTGCTGAAAAAAAAAAAAAATATTAAAAATTGAAATGAGGTTGATAATGTCACACGTGTATAAAAAAAATGCCTATGTGAATATGAAAATGTCATGAAAAATTATGTATATTCAATATAAGTATGTGGAAAGAAAAAAGAAAATGAGATTCAGACGTATTTTACGTTAGAGGTGCACAAAATATGTATATGAAATACTAATGGATGAGGACCGTATTAAATTTCTCATTGGAACATTGAAAATACGCTTTCTTGCATGAAAGAACATGTTTTTTGCTTTTAATTGGGTGTTTTTAATTAATTACGAAGAAGAATACGGATTTTGTTTATCAATACAGTTTATTTCGATTGTTGAGTATTGTTTCTTTTTTATGATTTTCAAGCTGTTATTGTGTATCATATGTTAAGTTGTAGTTAAATTTCAGGAATGAAAAATCATTTATTATGATAATAATTGTGAATTTTAAGCTACTACCGATTAGATTTAAAAAAAAAAAAAAAAATGTGAGATATTTTAACAAAGCATATAAGTTACGAGTGTAAGCATAATCAGATTAAGGTTATTATTCAAAGTGTTGTGTGAAGAAAAAAAATAATGAATTTTTTGAGGCTTATGTTGATATATATTTATTAGATATTTATGTACAATAGATAGCAGCAATAATTACATTTTGTTATTTCATTTATATAGAATTAATTATATAAAAGAAATTATGAACAATCCGAGTAATTGTGTATGAGAAAATAAATACAAATCTTTATAATAAAAGAAAAAAGAAAAAAAAATAGAGTTTGCAACAAAAACATGTCGGTTATTATCATTATTTTTATTTTCTAAAGATGAGCAACAAATTTTTGTAGCTTAGTTTTATTTTTGTTAGATCGGTCTTGATTAGATCTCTAGAAACTACTTTTATACATTAAAGTAATTAACAAAACCAATCAAGACAATCCGTTGTTTATGTAAATACTGAAAATACTAAAAATATCACACGCTAAAATCCAATACTCTTACGACATACATCTTAAAATTATATATACTATGGATATTTATTATATTCGACCCAAGTTAAAAACTACCTTGATTTGAGTTGTTACATTTTTTTTTTTTTTTGCAATAAAGCAGTGATGCCAGAAAAAGTTATCTCAAAGATCCATAACAAAACGAAATGCCAGTACATTCACGTGTGTATATAATAATATTTATTTAGCTATACAATAGCCACGATGAAATGTATGTTCGTATGTACCTATATCAAGTAGATTTGTACATACCACCGTACATTTGACAGTTTTATATATAAATATGTTCTCCTTCATGCATTTCCTTTGGATGCGAGATGCATATAAACAAAGTCTTGCCAAGTGCGTGATCAAGAAATAAATACTAAGAGTCTTGTGTTTTTTCCCAAAAAAACGCTAGATCCAAACACAAATGAAGTCAGTACAACGTTTATATGCCTATGATAAGCCTGTACGAGAATTTAGCAGATATATATATATATTGTATAATGACGTGTACCTAAAATTTAACGTACGTAAATATAAAACAAAGCAAAAATGAGGAAAAAATCCATACATCTACATTATACGGATGATACATGGATAATTTTTGGTTCTATCATTTTCTTATGCGCGTCTGCAATAAATCGGTTTTCTTTTCCCTCTAAACCACGTCATCTCAAGTGCAATATAAGATTATTACTGTTTGTCCCTGCACCGGAAAATATTGTGTGTAAATTATGCATGAAACTTTATATGATTATATAAAAGTCATTATGTAACGATGATTTTACTGGACTATTGCGAGTGTAAATCATTTGACGTTAGAGAAATTATGTACGATTGAAGAAAAAAAAAAAAAAAAAACCTATTTATATATACTATTGTTAGGAGTGTATTACGCATATTATATGAATTACTGTTCAAACAGCAAGTTTTCTATTATTATCGTCACCAATGAAATTTCTTTTGTAGTAGTTGGAAATTTTAAGCGAAAAAAAAAAATAATGGTGTCTAAATTGTTGTGTTTCGAAATTTATATTTTGGCAAAGAATAATTATAACGAATGAGTCAACAAATAATCCTTTTTGATCGAGAGAAATAATAAAAAAGTATACATACAATCATATATATGGAACATTTATAATTTATGTATAATCGTTTTCCAAACGACTCCAAATCCATTGCCTGAGGTACTTTCAACAGGTAGATTATGATAAAAAAATAGATTAAGCATATAACATGTAAAACATTGCGTTTAACATTTAAGCAGAGTGAATGAATGAAAACAAAAAACTATGATTTACAAATACTTGTAAGTTTTACAAATATTATATAGAGTAGACTGCTGTGTAAAAGAAAAAAGTAACATATTATCTTTCTGCTCATTATTATCAAACTGTATTTTGAACGGAATAAATAAATATGTATACTATAGTATGCACGTATACATATATATTTCATACGCTCTAGTACTACATTTTTTTTCAATAACATTTATTAAGGTCATTGTTATCGAAATAATATTTTCACGTCGTTCATGATGTGCAAACATTTTGTGAGGATGTGTGAGGCAGACTGGTACTAATGATTTTTTGTTTAAAAAATAAATAATTGTAAGTAATGTATCGACGATTTTGAGTGTATTTTTGGAAAAGCGCTAGTTTCTTTGGTATTTTATGATTTAGCAAGGCGAATTGTTGATTTGTACATTAGTGTCGTTTTTTCTATATACATAAAATGAAAAAAGAAAAAAAAACCCTAATATTACTGTCCATTACTTTATTTGAAACCTGAAAAATTTATTTTTTTTTTTTTTTTTTTTTTTTAAACATAATTTTATTTTTAAACTGATGAAAACTTGTTTTAATGAGTCGAAAGTTCTAATTATCATAAAAAAATGTCTGGGTCTATTGATTGTAAAAAAAAAGGAAAACGTAGTTATACTGTACTGACAAGAAATAACACACTTGTTACACACATGAAAATCTATATTTTAGATCAATATACAAATAATGAAATAATTCATTGCCGAGCCTGTTCAGTTTGTACATCTGTTGTGACTGGAATCTTTGGAGGTGGAATTCCTGTTGGTTCTGTATACCATTCTCCATCTATGTTTATAGCCTTGTTGTAATTAATGGGGTTTTCTAATGCATTTTCTATGGCTTCATCGATATTTTTTCTGGTTATAATAGTAGAACTGAGGATTTTCAATTTTTTAATTTTATCATCCGCTTGTTCCTGAAGGAGTTTTTTCTTTTCCTTTTGTCTCTCAATATTTAACATAATTTTCAATCTCTTCTCTTCGTTTTCCTTTGCTAATCTTATTTCTCGATCTGCCGCAATCTGTTTATTCCATTCATCATTAATTTGGTTACACTTTTCAAAATCTTCTTGCTCTGCCTTTTCAATTACAGCTGGATCAAGTTGGATTTCATTTTGTTTGTTTATTTCTTTAAAGTATTTACTGAAACAAAAATGATAATATAGAGTAAGTATCACAATTTCGATTGATGATCACTCATAAAATAGCTCTCAAATAAGCTAGTGGCTCAACTAGTAATAGACAATGCAATAAAATGTAGCTTACAGTGTAGAGCGCAAGTAGGTCCTGTAATTGTTGTATAATCTTTGGATTTCCTTAAATTCATCTTCAGGTATTTTTGGTCTCTTGGGAACTCTAAAGACTTTTGTCTTCGCTGTGGGCAGCCAAATGGGCTTACGCTTCCATCGCAGGCTCTGTGTAAACACTGAATTAATGAAACTGCACGTGTGTGTGGCGTTTGTTACCAATGGACTGCTTCCCAGAAGTTTAGCAACTAGCATCTTTTTTTTTCCTTTTTTTCAAATTCTAACTTTAAACAACAAATAGACGAGTAATCAGATGAGCAGATCCATTTGGGAGGAATACACACGCATACCTCAATTTAGCATAGTATGATTCAGACTTATGACTCTGTAAGACACTTGTTTTATATTCTAAAATACATTTTAAAAAGCTTTTGAGAACACAAGTTAAAAAAAAAAAAAACAATCTTCTATGTTATTTTCTTATAACGTTTTTTTTCACAAATGTCTCGGTGTCAACAACGTTTTCGTCTGCTAGTTGCACCTCTGTGTATATATATATATGTGTGTGTGTTTTTCAAAGGTTAGGAAAATTCTGGTGTCATGTGGTATCGAACGTATAGTCGATTAGTTGAATACTTAAGTATCTTTTATGAATAAAGAATATTTTCTAAATAAAAAAAAAAAAAAAAAAAAAAAAAAATTCGTACGTCGTAAGATTATTATTTTTCAACGTAAATTAACAGTATGTATCTATATGTGTTGTTTTCCCAAAAATTTTTGTGCAATACGATCCTGAGTGTTTTAGTTGTAAATGTTAACACAATAAATAACACTATATTAAAAAAATAAAAATTGGTAAATAATCACATACATATAATGAATGAATGCTACATTGCTAACAATACAGTACAACAAGCATAATTTTTTTTTTCTGTTTTTCATACCCGAGTGACTTGCAAATTAATTCTATTAATTATTATTATTCTTATTATTATTATTATTAACATTGATGTTATTACTTAATATTACTTTTATTTGTTCAGCTACATGAGCTAACACGTTTTACAATTTGTATACATTGATAATGATAAAATTTTTTTTTTACATTACAAAAATTCTTTCAGCAAATGCGGATGGTTTTTTAATTTTTCCTCCGTCCAGTCATCAAATTTTTTTATCAACTCTTCCGACATTTCCGTTTTCCACTGGCCAACCAACCCCTTTCTCAAAAAGTCTCCTTCCGCTTTGAAATTTGTACCGAACATTTTTTTCTCGTTTATAATTCCGGCCACGTGATTTAAATTAAGTGCAGGATTTTTCTTCATACTAGCGAAACTTAAATGATCCTCTAACTCTCGCACCTTCTGATCCGTCAAAGATTTACCCAAGAAATTCGCCGTTTTTCTTATCACCGAAGGAAGATCCTAGAAATACGAGAAATCGAAAATAATTTGATTGATTAATAGTCGTTAGAAAAAATTCATCAACAAATAAGTTACAGCTTTCATGTCCTCATATTTTAGAAATAGTACGTCTAGGTTGTTTCTATTCTCCCAAAAACCAATTACGTGATCCCAAAAAGGTGCATAGATAACTAAAAAAAAAAAAAAATTTTTTTAAATAATTATTTAACTATAGTAACATGACTCTGTAGTACTCCTCACTTTTGTTTCCTAAAAACAATTTGACAAAATCGTCAAAATTCCCGATGAACCCTTCGAGCAACTTGTAATGGTGATAATAAGAAATACAGGTGTCTTTCGGGTTCCTCGACACGTAGATAATTTTATTTTTTTTTTCGCCTGTGCGCAACTGGCGAGGCAACAAATGAAACGGCAAATGAGTCTTGAGAAATCTGGGACTTGGCAGATTCGAGGCAAACTCGACGCTTTTCGTGATACGATCTGGAAGTTCTTCCTTGGATTTTCTCAGTGATATCCAACCTGTTACTGTCGTCCCAGTAAATCTGTACATGTGATTGGATATTTAAATGGCTAGAACATTTTCATTAAAAACAAAACAAAATTATTTTTAAAATAAAAAAAATTAAGTACTCAATAAAAGGAAATCTCTGGCCCAGATTTACTTTAGCAGCTTCTGAGTTTATGTCGTTTGAAATGCCCCAAACCATTTCTTGGGTCCAAGTCGTACCTGAAATAAATAAAGGTAAAAAATATATTTTTTTTTTTTTTGAGAAAATTAACGTATTACTGAAAATAGGGTCACAAGAAATTAATAACCACCTGTTTTTGGAAAAGTGCAAACCCAAACGTCATCGTCACGTACTTCAAAATTTTCTATGGCATCGGCAATTTCTGCGTAAGTATCTGGGACCCAGAGACCCTTGTAATTTACGAACTTGATTGGAATGCCATCAGCTAAGCATTTTGATAATAATTTGTCCAATTCATCTTCCATGTTTATTTAGTTCTTTAGAGTGTACGTATTAGTTGAGAACTTTCAAAACTACGTACGTGCAATGCAGATGTAACTATATATTAATTTCAGTTCTACATTGGTCGATTGAGATCACATAAGACTTTTTAATTATGAAAAATTTTCAACATTTTCTTTGAGTTTTTTTGCAGTGCTTTTTTTGGTTTAGTTGTTTCTAAGTTATCAACAGAAAATGTTTTACATCATGGCTTTTTTCATATCCCAAAAAGTGTATGAAACTTTTATGTTATATTAAATATTAATTCCAATTTTACAACTTTTTGAAAAAACTTTAAAATTAAAATTAAAATAAAACAAAATTTAAAAAATTAAAAAGGTTTTGTTGTTTTTATGTGGTAGTAGGGTGATAAAAAACTTTTAAGTTGATAGAAAAACAAGCATTTCAAAATATTACAAAATAATTTCGATAATAGTAAAATTCGTACCAAAAAAAAAAATACTCACAATTCTTCAAGTGTTAAATAAATTTTCTTCGCCAAAAATCAATTATAAATAAGTTTATCAAGCGTCAAATTTATTCATATAACTAAAATAAGCTTTGGCACAATTACTTGTATCACCACACCAAAGAGTTGAACCACAGTTTGAAGTTGTTTTTATACACTAACAAGAAATTTCATATACTTCATCCAAACAACATACTTAAAAAATATTTAACTTACCGTAAAAATATCAAACTATTTTGCAAACAGCCAAAATAAGTATAAGCGTTGCAAGAAGCTGCGATTAATCTCAATGCTTCAATGCACTGTATCGCAGAAAAAACATTCTGTTAGGCAGTAATGTAAAAGTTGTTGCCTTTTTCGCTACATATAATCAATCCATCTTTGTTCAATCAGCTCTTTCGGCTTCTCTTTCTATCTTCTTCGTGCATACGCGTTCCCATTTTCCCTTCTCCTTTCCAAGTGCATATGGAATGCAATAAGCCTGTATCAAACGCGCAATATGCGTGTTGACTCCGTGGGTGTGAAGTAACTGCGGTGTCGTACATTTGCGTTAACTACTTTGGAAAAAAATTCATCCTTTATACGGAGCATTTCAGTGAAATCGAATAATCGTTAGGTATTGTGATTTTGCTGTTCGTCAAGATCCAATACGATAACAAAAATGATTCGACGAGGTTTACAAGCTATAGTTGTTTACGTATCTTGAAGGTGAGGACCATTTTTATTTTATTTCTTTCTGTGTCCGTATTTTATAAAAATGCATACCGATGAATGGGTATTTATATCACTGTAAAATTTTTGATTTTATTGGTAAATTGAGAAGATTAAAACAAATCTTACTTGATTAATTTTAGTGGTCACCATAATATTAAATCGTATTAGAAATTAGTTGTTGAAGGACATGGAAATTAATAAATACGATTATCGATTATTAAAAGATAAATAAAAGTATGTCTGGATTGATCAAGTGTTTGTTATTTAGCTTATATGCAGCTTTTGTAATAAAATTATTACTTTGTTATTGCAATGTATATTTATTTACTATCATAATTGCATTTAATTATTTATTAGTGGTTTTCATATTTCATTTCTTTTCATAATATTTGTCGATCAAAGTAAAGGCTTATTCTTAAGAGTCTATAACCAAAAAAATAACTTTATAAAAAATGTAAATTTGTGATACGTAATAAAAAGAATCTATGATTTGATTACAAACACACTGCAATAAACTTTATTTTATTGTTTTTTTGAGCGTATTAAATATTATACTCCTACATTTGACATAAATAGATGAATGTTTCATTGAATTCAATCAAAAGAAACAATTTTTATTAAAGAATTTTTTTTTTTAACGTCAAAAATTGATTAAATTGGTTAGCTTGCACGGAAAAAAGCTGAAATAATCAAGAAAACAATTTTTTTGCAATTAAATTAAATTTTTTAATTATCGAGCTATTTATGGAACATTAAATAATTCTTTGAAACAACAATTACTGATACAATTTTTTATCGTATAATTTGAAGATATACAGTGCCTATAGATTTTTTAAAGAAATTCGGAATAGCAATGAAATAAAAACTATTTTGATAGAAAATTTAATTCAACATAGCGTACACACACCCACTCTTTCCTCGGTGGAGTCTAATAAAAGGAAGTTATAATTAATTGTCGTTTCCATGCGCGTACTCCAAAGTCATAGAAATACCACGTAACGTATCTAATTATAAGACTATTCGTTGTACGTAAATTTTTTTTTATAATTATATTTGGACGAAAACTATTTTTCTAGCAACATTATCGAGGAGTTAATATTTTTCGAAAATGATATTGCTCGAGCCCAGATGAAACACAAATCCATCTGTCGTATGATTTAAAATAAAAAGACCTGTTTCCATAAAGATATAGAACACGTGCTTCAGCGTCGGAATGAGTGTGTGCGACAGAGTTGAGTAAAAAAAAAAGAAAAAAAAGAAAAAAACGAGAGACAGGAAGAGAGCAGAAAATCAAGTTTCTACACAATCATATGAAGCTCGACTCATTTAGTGTTGGCTCTGCAGCTATACGAGTACAACGTCGCTGTGTTTACTTTCTTGATCTTGCCAACTCCACGTAGATTGTGTGAAGAAAAAAATTTTTTTTTCACATTAGATGTTCAACTGGCATTAAAAACGAGTGAAAAAAAAATACACATATATTTTAGTTTCATTCGACATTTTGTTTTTTCGTTTAGTGCCCTCGTCTTAAATTGTGTACGTAATCAGTACAGACTGCGGATCATGAGTATGTTTAACACTGTGAATAAGTTGAGTGTCTTTACATTCAAGGCAGGCAAGTTATTATAATTAATTTTTTTATTCATTGTTCTCATGTTCAATGAGATTAGAGAGCAGATTTTTGTGTTTGTTAAACAAATTAAGTTTTATTGTTATTTTTTTTTTCTCCTATACGATCGAAAATTTTTGAAACTGATTGTTAAAAAAAAAAAAAAAAAAAAAAAAAGGAANAAAAAGACATAAAAACCATACATGCTGTAAGTAAAAATCTTCATAGTTAGGCCTTAAAGTGCGATTTTTTATTTTAAAGGAACATTTGATAAAAAAATTCACAAAGATACCAAGTGACCGTGAGATAAGCGTTGGCTTCTTAGTGGGGGTCTCACAAACCATATTATAATATATTCACTAACCGCGAGTGTAGAATGCTGTTCTTTAGAAAAAAAGTTCAAAAATACCGTTTATATGGGATAATATTTTTCATCAGTTTTACTTTTTAAGTTTCGTGATACGAATTAACGTATGTTTTATCAGTACTCAAAAAAGATTTTATCACTAAAAAAAGTAATTTATGAAGAATTGACAAGCGGATGAACTGACTGTGCATGCTCTGAATAATAAATGTCTTATCAATACGTAAATCAATTCAAATATTTGGCTGTTTTTTTGAGTGAATTGAGGCAAAAGACACGAAATTTGGACGATTTGTTTTTAATCGCAGTAAAAAGCAAAAATAGTTTTAAAACAGTTGAAAACCTTAAACTTTAAAAATATCAATATCCAAGCAAATCTAATCATAAAATATAAATCTAAACATGCTGTATATCAAAATATTATATTATAAGTATTAATTGTTAATTCATATTTAAAAAAATGATGAATCTGATTTATAAGTTGGATTTATGTTAGTAACTTCATTGTATGTATATAATAATTTCAGATTATAATCCATAAAAAAAAAAAAAAAAAAAAATCAATAGTACTGAGACTATGAAAACGTATAAACCATAATATTGCTTAAGTAACACTTTTAGTTGACAACTGTATTGTTTGCAAATAATATCGTGAAAAAAAAGCAAGTGATTTCCATAGTTCTTTTCAGTAAGGTATTTATCAACTTTAAGAAATTGCATTACTAAAAAAAATTTGTAGAAAAAAACTTGTAAAAAAATTCTTCAATTTTTCGTCCATATGAAAATTATTCATGCCAGTACTTGGACATTTACCAAAAAATTGTTATTTGTTAAAATTGAACAAAAAAAGTAACATTCGTAAAAAAAAAATTTTAACATGTACCTAATATACACAGCATATACTTACCATTTTCAGTGAAGTTATTATGTTAAATTTTACGGAAATCAAATTATGGTTACAGTAGGGAAAAAAAATTGGTAAGATCATTTGAAAATTTGTCTAGATCAGTACAGCAACTGTGATGTATACCATTAAAAAATGAATTCTTTATATCTATGTTCTAGTTTTGTTTTTTTTTTTTTAAACGTTAATTTTGTTTTTTTTTTAAACTAAAATTAAGTTATTCTACGCTTTACATTGTAAAATCGATCTAAAAATAAGAAAAAATGTTCATTGACTGGAAATACACGGCGAAATTTTTTTTTGAGTGCTGTACAAGTAAAAGTAAAAATTCCAAGCTCTCCAGTATTTAAATCGATCGAGGGAGAAATGTGACCGACGATTGATTGTATATCATTACACCCACTAAAACATGGACATTTATTCTAAACGACGTACTTTGTCTTGGGTACACATTTTCCGGAAAATTTTGTGTTTGATCTACTTACGTAAACCTTTGAAATAAAATTTTTTTATTTTTCATATATATTTTTATGATGCTGTCATGCACTGTCATGCAGTTGGTCAGCACCGAAACATATCCAATGTCGGTTTCATCGGTTTGGGCAACATGGGCGCCTTCATGGCGAAGAATCTCATCAAAAAAGGATACAAACTCACTGTCTACGACATAAACAGAACAGCCATCGACAATGTAACGAGCGCCGGTGCCAGGGGCGCCGAAAGTATTGCCGAGGTCTCGAGAAATTCGGAACTCGTCGTCACCATGTTACCGATGAACCAGCACGTGTTGTCCTGTTATACTGACAAAGACGGTATTATAAGGTACAGACACTTATCAACTATAGTTGGGAAGGTGGAGGGTGTATAAATGATCGTATTGTATTGATGTAAATATATGCATTGCAGCGCAGCGAAAGAGGGTACACTGTTGGTCGACAGCAGTACGATCGACCCTTCGGTTTCTCAAACCGTTGCCAAGGAGGCAGAAAAGAAAGGTTTGAGATTCATCGATGGCCCAGTATCGGGAGGTAAACAAACATTTTCCAACTCACCGTTCGTTGGGTATGAATTTGGGTTTTGTTATTTTGATGTAAAGGTGTCGTCGGTGCTGAAAATGGCACCCTGACTTTCATGGTTGGCGGAGCAAAGTCCCATTACGAGCAAGCCAAGGTCGTCCTCGACGCGATGGGCTCGCGGGCCGTTCACTGCGGTGACGTTGGTATGGGCCTCGTGGCAAAGATATGCAACAATATGCTTCTTGCCATTTCAATGATTGGCGTGTCCGAAGCTTTGAACTTGGGGAAAAGGTGAGCATTGATCGCATATATATATATATATATATACGTATAGATTGCCTTTTGAATGATCTCAAACGAAAAAAATTACCTTTAGCAAGTTTTTTCTTTTCATTTATTTGCTGGGTTGAAGAATAATGTTTGTGCATTGAAAAAATATTTATTACGTAAATTTTAAGATTCGTATATGATAAATAACTTCGAATATTCATTAATTGAAATAGTTGGAAAATAGTTTGTACAACATTGATTATTATTTGTAGCAGCAGGTGTAATGTAATAGATAAGTTTACGTAACAAGTGCGGAAAAGACGGTTTCCCGTATTTGCCCCTATTATAGACTCTCACGAATGGGTCAGAGTTTCCGGCATCGGTCAAAAGTGTGAGTCCATCACCCCGAGTGATGGGATTTTCTGGAAAAAAACAGTGCGAAAAATATCTCTTTTTCTCACTCTATACTTATTATAAAAAAAAAATGTGATGGAATTTATTTGAATTTTTCATTAAAAAGCCGTTTTTTTGGATTAGTGAGTCATAAAATTTATTTCAACATGCTCACCGTAATCTAATTAGTTGTTAGACATTCATGTTATCTTGTTCTTTCTCTCGATTATTTACGTGCGNATTATTTATTTATTACATATGTTTTACATACTTTATGCGTTTCTCTCATATTATCAAATCTTTTACACTTAACAAACTCTTAACAGTAAACATTATATATATATACAGTGAATACACATTCAACAACGTACATGTGTGTCAAAAAAATTAAATAAATTTATAACTTTATGCTCATTTGAATATGTTCACATCAATCTTTTATGGAAGACCTTATTTTTATTGGCACATTCTTACCGATTCATGAATTATTAGGCCACAACATACAAATCGTTTTCATCTAACGGTCATCAAACTTCCTTTTTTAAATCTTTTATTAAAAAAAAGCGTAAGCATCAACTAATTTTGCTAAACTTTTTAAAGTTTCCTTCATCCCATTAAAAAAGAAAAAAAGCATGTCCATTTTACATTATTGTTTATCAAGCAAATGCGCGTTGAGTACTTTTTTTTCTAATTGCCATTTTATTTATTCCGGTGTTGTTTCATAAAATTGTTGTAAAAATGACTCTCCATAAATCTAACTTCCAACTCATCATCCGTCCATATAAAGCCGTATGTCTAAAATGTAGTGCTTCTCCAGCTATTGCATGTTTTTTACAATGAATTTATATCACTTGTAAAATTTAAAATTCGTGGATTTTAGTTTATTTACATCTACGTCATAGATTTGTAACCGTTGGGATTTACATTTTATTTAAAACCATTTAAAATAACGTTCTCCTCTGTCGTACGATTTCCGATCGGGTAGATATTAAATTATTCTGCTATACAGTATATAACATTATACTCTACGGTTACGGTGAAAAGTTAATTTTTCATTTACATTTACATTAAAACTTTTGTGCTGATATGTCGAAACGTCAACAATGGTCTCGAAATTCATTGGAAAATGCCACTTTGAGTATTAGAGTCTAGTTATTTATACTCTAGAATTTTATAATTATTAAAATAATGTCAAATAGTAAAGATGATGATAAATAATAAGTATCTTCCATATAAAATCCATTTTTGCTCGCCGAAGGTACGTTTCAAAACAATTCAAATACTTTTCAAAAATTCAAAACATTTCAAAATGTATTTGCATCATGAGAAATTTTTAATTTCACCAAGTATGTATATTACACCTTCACTATCTCATCTTGTATACGATTAATTTTTATGCTCTGTAAACAATAAACAGGTGAGTCTACAATTATACTCTTTTTGTAAAATAATCAGACTTGAGCATAATTATTTTATGGATTTTCAAAAACTTTAAAAGTAATTTTTTTTTTTTCTTTGAATAAAATTCATTTTTCGTGCTAAAAATTTTTTTTTTTACTCATTTGAAGCCCCGCAAGGTCCTTGTGAGGGCCCTACTGTAGGTTTTCTTATCAGGTTGCTGTCGTTGCAGTAATACGATACATCGAAAGGTCGATATTAACCCCACCTCAAATGACGTCTGAACAGTCTGAATCTACTACCTATATGCATCTGAATCTGAAACGATTTCAGTGACGTCTGCAGATTTTATGAAATGATTTGGATGATTTCAGTGAAATCTGAAAACCACACGACTTTGCGAGATATCGCATATTGAAAAGTGTCAAATTCGAGTGTCGATAGGTATTGTGATTGTCGTCTTGCAGACGTCATACCTCGAAGCTCGAAGCATCTCTCTCGCGCAGTCTCGCTCTCCGTGAAATATCGGAGCACTGGTCTTGTGGTAGTGCACGGTAGTGCAGGTTCTGTATTCTCTATTTCCACTCGACTCTCAAGAATCATCGTCTTCGGGAGCAACAATTTAAAGATTTTAGATGGACGAGTCCGAAGCTCAACCAAAGCAGCAAGTCGGTGGCATGGAAGTGGATGAAAACAATGCTGTCGAGCAAGCCCCGGAGGACGTGACAATGGATGATGTCCAGCCACCGGAGGCTGGAGCTTCTGCAGCCCCCATCCCTAGCCAACAGCAGCAGCTACAGGCTAACAGCGCAAGAGTCATGGCATCCTCTGGGACTGTCGGCTCTGTGTCCATTAGTCTCCATCCGCTTGTTATTATGAATGTCAGTGAACACTGGACTAGACTCAGAGCTCAGGAGGGCTCTGATCAGCTTGGTAAGTCTTTGATTTCATTTCAATGGTTTTTTGTTCAAAAGAGGTAGGTTCTTGGTTGTTAAATTGTTTCCTATAGGTGTATACTTTTTTTTGTAAGGTCGTTAGGTTAGTTTAATAACAGAACTCTTTGATAACAAGATAATTCTGAAGTTTTGTTTTGTATCTTTAAAAGGGTTTTTCAATTTTTCATTTGAAGTAATGAGTGATTTGTCCGGTTGTGTTGTAGTGTATGGAGCACTAATTGGAAAACAAAAAGGACGCAACATTGAGATTATGAATTCATTCGAGTTGTTGTTTACATGCATCGGAGATGATGTCATCATTGACAGGGATTATTATGATACAAAAGAGAGCCACTTTAAGCAAGTATTCAGTGAAATGGATTTTCTTGGCTGGTACACCACTGGTGGTTTGCCCAATGAACGAGATATTAAAGTTCACAAACAGATATGTAAAATCAACGAGAGTCCAGTCATGCTAAAACTTGATCCACGACCTAAGAGTACAGAGGTAACATTAAGATTTGAACAGTTTTTGATGTTGTATTAGTTTTTTGGTCACCATCAACCATTGGTTATTTTCTTTGCAGCAGTTACCGGTATCGATTTATGAATCAGTTATAGATTTAGTAAATGGTGAAGCGACCATGCTGTTTGTACCATTGACATACACACTTGCTACCGAAGAAGCAGAAAGGATTGGCGTCGATCACGTTGCTAGAATGTGTACAAACGAACAGGCAGAATGTTCATTAGGTGACTATTTCCTTCTCAAATTGATTTTATACAAAATATAAAAACATATTTATTTTTTATTGTTTATCTGCAGTGGCTGAACATTTGTTAGCACAACACAGTGCGATAAAAATGCTTCATTCAAGGGTAAAGTTAGTTTTGAGGTACGTTGAAGCAGTACGAAATGGAGAGCTTCAGGGTAATCATGAAGTTTTAAGAGCTGCATGCTCGTTAAGTCATCGCTTGCCTGTATTAAACAGTCCAAAATTCAAAGCTGATTTCTATGACGTAAGTTTGACTAAATTAAAAATGTATCGTTTCTATTGTAATAACTCATAACTAAATAAAACGAATAATTTTCTTTCAGCAATGTAATGATTTTGGCCTTATGACGCACCTTGGCATCATAACTAAAGGTTGTAATGATACCAATCAATTTGTCCACAAATTCAATATTTTGTATGATAGACAAGGCGTTGGACGTCGTGTGAGAAGTCTCTTTTTCTGATAGGTCAATATAATTATTTTTTTCTATGTTATGTGTTTTTCTATTATCTCACCAGTTTCCTTGTTTTTAAGATTTTTGCAATCAAAAAGAAGAAAAAAATTTAGTATTACGAAAAATACTTGCTATAATTTCAATAATTAAAGTTTAACCAAGTACAGTTACTTTTTTTTGGTTACTTTTGATACTTTCTGAAATAATTTGACACTGAATTTTATAAAATTTGAGAAAATAATAGAAAAAATGTGATATTAATACAAAAAAGCTGTGATTTATTAATCAATGACTTTGACTAGAACATTTGTGAAAACCATTATTTAATAAGTCTACATGTTTGTTTGCTTGCAAACATTCATCCTATGCTCATATAATTATCCTTCATGTTTCTTGTACATATACATCGATCTTTCAAGTTCATCAAAGCTTGGAGTTATCATGGCCCATGAAATAAACGAATTTGAAACTAAGTCCTTTTATTTCAGTTGAATTTTTTCAAATAAAACTACGTAATAGAAATGTTTAGAATCTTGACTCAATAAATTAATGGTTAAATAATCGACTCTATATATCTCTTATTTCTTAAATATTATAGAAATTTATTATTTATTTATTACATATGTTTTACATACTTTATGCGTTTCTCTCATATTATCAAATCTTTTACACTTAACAAACTCTTAACAGTAAACATTATATATATATACAGTGAATACACATTCAACAACGTACATGTGTGTCAAAAAAATTAAATAAATTTATAACTTTATGCTCATTTGAATATGTTCACATCAATCTTTTATGGAAGACCTTATTTTTATTGGCACATTCTTACCGATTCATGAATTATTAGGCCACAACATACAAATCGTTTTCATCTAACGGTCATCAAACTTCCTTTTTTAAATCTTTTATTAAAAAAAAGCGTAAGCATCAACTAATTTTGCTAAACTTTTTAAAGTTTCCTTCATCCCATTAAAAAAGAAAAAAAGCATGTCCATTTTACATTATTGTTTATCAAGCAAATGCGCGTTGAGTACTTTTTTTTCTAATTGCCATTTTATTTATTCCGGTGTTGTTTCATAAAATTGTTGTAAAAATGACTCTCCATAAATCTAACTTCCAACTCATCATCCGTCCATATAAAGCCGTATGTCTAAAATGTAGTGCTTCTCCAGCTATTGCATGTTTTTTACAATGAATTTATATCACTTGTAAAATTTAAAATTCGTGGATTTTAGTTTATTTACATCTACGTCATAGATTTGTAACCGTTGGGATTTACATTTTATTTAAAACCATTTAAAATAACGTTCTCCTCTGTCGTACGATTTCCGATCGGGTAGATATTAAATTATTCTGCTATACAGTATATAACATTATACTCTACGGTTACGGTGAAAAGTTAATTTTTCATTTACATTTACATTAAAACTTTTGTGCTGATATGTCGAAACGTCAACAATGGTCTCGAAATTCATTGGAAAATGCCACTTTGAGTATTAGAGTCTAGTTATTTATACTCTAGAATTTTATAATTATTAAAATAATGTCAAATAGTAAAGATGATGATAAATAATAAGTATCTTCCATATAAAATCCATTTTTGCTCGCCGAAGGTACGTTTCAAAACAATTCAAATACTTTTCAAAAATTCAAAACATTTCAAAATGTATTTGCATCATGAGAAATTTTTAATTTCACCAAGTATGTATATTACACCTTCACTATCTCATCTTAAAAAACATACTAATTATCGTTAAAAACTTTTCTCAGTGTATTTAAGACGGTATGGTATATATATGTAATCTTTTAATTATTGTATTGTCGTGTTTTCAATATTTCATTAGATTGAAATACATAGGTATACTTAGGTACCAAGATTTTTGTGCACGTGACAAAATTGATAGATTGTATATATACAGCTTTTGAACTTTGAGTGAAACTCATGTATTTCACGAGAAAAAAAATCATGCATTTTTGGTATAGTTTATTGCACTTATAAAATAAAATCACTTTTGGTGCCTGTATAATATATATGTATATCACATCCAATCACTTTGCATCTTCATTAGGCTCGAAGTATTATAGGTATTTATATATATTTTGAAGAAATAAAGCACCACCGTTTTTTTTCTCCCTAGCTTGCACGTGACGATATTTCAGATTATACCGCACATCACAACCTCTACATACGAGCTCCTGTAAACGCGTGCAACAAGACAATTTAAGTCGGTTTACTTTCACAGCTGTGCTTTTTGTACGCTATTATGTGTTTTTGTGCTTTTGCAGTACATTAGAGCTTTATTTATTATTTTTTTTTTTCATACGAAATTAACATGAAATTTTCAAAAAGAACACGTTCAATAATACTTAAAAAAGTTTTATTGTACAAATTATTTAAAAAACGGATTCAAAGTATTATTTTGTGCGCTACTCGTTGGAAAAATCTCCTGTCGGTATACAAAGAGCACCGTCCTCGAATTTTCTGATTATTCAGGCTATTGATATTAATTTTTGTTCTGCGCTCGAAAAAAAAGCCAAACAAAAAAAAAAAAATTAAAAATCCAACTGGCATCATAAGGTAAGCCCGAACTCAGTGGCTGCTATGATATTTTACATTGCAAATATATCAGCTCACCATGTATTTATGTATATGATATAAAATTTGAGCGTGAAAAAAATCCAAGTTGGTTCTTTATCCAACCGATTTTTTACCGATCGCAGCAGCTTCGGCAGCGTCTTCGATCATTGTGGCGATCAGATCGACGAGAACAGAGAGTTCGGGTTAAGGGCTCGGCTTGTCCATGCCGATGAGCTCCTCGAACAGGCTGTTCCTGCCCTCGAGTCGTTCCTCGATCGTTTGCACGGAGAATCTCAGCGCCGCGGCGGCGAGATCGCCCACCGACCATTGCCGATCTGTCAGCACTCGGCTTACCGTGTCCAGCTATGGTTCGTACGAATTTTTCAATTTAGGGTATATTATTCATTCAGTCGGACTTTGGCAAAGTACAACAATTAATAAATAGTTTGAACATTATTACAACAGCCAGTAGTTATTCCATTACAGTGTTTAAAATACATTCTAAAAAATTTAAATACTTTATATTAAACATAATGTCTCAAATATAATTATATTCATCAAAGTAGTTAATAATTTGGACAAATTGAAGTGCATTTGCTAAATGTATTTCAAACAATTTATTCAAACATATATATATTTCAAATATTTTATTTTAAAATATTCTATGTAGTATGTGAAATTTCTTGTGTGTTTATATTTTTTAAAGAGTTTTTCAGTATTTAATCAAACGCCATTTGAAATATTTTATTTCAAATTTTTTTTTTTAGATTTTATTTAAAACGAAATATTTTTA